CTTCTCCATCTGGTATGCCAGAACGAGAGAAAAGAGTAAACAGCCTCCCTCAGCTCAGCCATGTTGGATTATTAAAAATAGAGATAGTAAAAGAAGGTTTCTGCTCAGGGAACAAAAAAAAAATGAAGAAAAAACTGTTGCATGCATCAATTATTTTGGAGAGTTTGTGGCGAACTGAAGACGGTCTTGTCACATTTCCCAATGTGGCTGAGCTATGGAGAGGTCCTTGGCTGACACTGACATTTAGAAGCTGGTGTGGAAATCCCAGTCTGTTTGTCAAAAAAATATGAATAAATAATGGACAAAAGACTAAGCTGACTGCTTGCAAAGCCCTTCTGTCCATGCTTGAAATTCCTTCTGTGTCATTGACATAACTAGACAAAGGTACCCAGCTCGATCACCCTAATTTCCCCACGTGTGAAAAACTGCAACTTACACTGATCAATACGTGACTTAGTGGCACTGCTGGGGGGGGGGGGGGGGGGATAGAGTCATTCACAACAATACATTTAACATGCTGTCAGGGAACACATTTATGTCTAGTGTTTTCCCTTGAGTTTTTTGTATGTAATGGTATTAAAAGAGGTTCAGATCACAAAAAAATGGTAATTTACCTTGAAATCAGAATGCAAGTTAAAACATTAAAAAAAAGCACAATGGTACCACTTTACAATAAGGCTCCCCTTATAGATGGTTAATAACAAGTTTAAAGATACGCAATTAATTCCTCTATAAACACTTTATAAATCATTAATGACTGCTTATTATGCATTCATTAAGGGTGACAGAGACAAAACTGACAATTTTCTTGCCAAATAGTGAGCCAAATCTGTTCACCTATATATTTTATCTAGAGTTGTTATATAAAACATTTCAGACAAAGTTACTACCTTGTAAGTACAATAAGCATATGTAAACCTATTTCTTTAGCATATAATATTGTACTTAATCACTGCAATGTAAGTATCTACAACAGGGCTATTCAACTGGTAGGCCGCAGGCCATTTCCGGTGATTTCCATCTGGCCCACTTCATCCATCCATCCATTTTCTTCTGCTTATCCGGGGTCGGGTCGCGGGGGTAGCAGTTTAAGTAGGGAGGCCCAGACTTCCCTCTTCACAGCTACTTAGGCCAGCTCCTCCGGGGGAATCCCGAGGCGTTCCCAGGCCAGCCGAGAAACATAGTCCCTCCAGCATGTCCTGGGTCTTCCTCTGGGTCTCCTCCCGGTGGGACGTGTCCGGAACACCTCACCAGGGAGGCGTCCAGGAGGCATCCTAACCAGATGCCCGAGCCACCTCAACTGGCTCCTCTCGACATGGAGAAGCAGCGGCTCTACTCTGAGTCCCTCCCGGATGATCGAGCTTCTCACCACATCTCTAAGGGAGAGCCCAGACACCCTGCGGAGAAAACTCAATTCGGTCGCTTGTATCCGAGATCTCGTTCTTTCGGTCACAACCCAAAGCTCATGACCATAGATGAGGGTAGGAACGTAGATCGATTGGTAAATTGAGAGCTTCGCCTTTTGACTCAACTCTCTCTTCACCATGACAGACCTGTACAGCGCCCGCTTCACTGCAGACACTGCACCTATCCGCCTACCGATCTCACGTTCCATTTTTCCCTCATTCGTGAACAAGACCCCAAGATACATGAACTCCTCCACTTGGGGCAGGACCTCCTCCCTGCCCTGGAGAGGGCACTCTACCCTTTTCCGACTCAAGACCATGGCCTCGAATTTGGAGGAACTGATCTTCATCCCAGCTGTGTCGCACTTGGTTGCGAACTGCTCCAACAAAAGCTGTAGATCACGATCTGATGAAGCCAACAGGACCACATCATCTGCAAAAAGCAGAGATGCAATCCTAAGGCCACCAAAATGGATCCCCTCAACACTTTGGCTGCGCCTAGAAATTCTGTCCATAAACGTTCTGAACAGAATCGGTGACAAAGGGCAACCTTGGCGGAGTCCAACTCTCACCGGGAACAAGCCCGACTTACTGCTAACAATGCGGACCAGACTCTGACACGGGTCATACAGGGACCTAACAGCCTGTATCAAAGGGCCCGGTACCCCATACTCCCAGAGTAACCCCCACAGGGTTCCCCGAGGGACGCGGTCAAACGCCTTTTCCAAGTCCACAAAGCACATGTAGACCAGTTGGGCAAACTCCCACGCACCCTCCAGGACCCTGCTGAGAGTGTAGAGCTGGTCCAGTGTTCCGAGACCAGGACGAAAACCGCACTGCTCCTCCTGAATCCGAGGTTCGACTATCCGACGGACTCTCTTTTCCAGAACCCCCAAATAGACCTTACCAGGGAGGCTTAAGAGCGTGACCCCCTGTAGTTGGAACACACTCTATGGCCCCCCTTTTTGAATAGGGGGACCACCACCCCGGTCTGCCAATCCAGGGGAACTTCCCCTGATGTCCACACAATATTGCAGAGTCGCGTAAGCCAACACAACCCTACAACATCCAGAGCCTTAAGGAACTCCGGGCGAATCTCATCCACCCCGGGGCCCTGCCACCGAGGAGCTTTTTAGCCACCGAGGAGCTTTTTAACCACCTCGGTGACATCAGCACCAGAGATTGGAGGGACTGACCCAGAGTCCCCAGGCTCTGCTTCCTCAGTGGAAGACATGCCGGTGGGATTGAGGAGGTCTTCAAAGTATTCTGCCCACCGACCCACGACATACCTGTTGTAAAACTTTAATTTAAAGGTAGATTACGTCATATTTATGATACATTTTGCCAGCAGGGATTACGTGTATTTCTCATACCAACTGGCCTTCACTGTGTCCTAAAACGTAAAAAAATCAAAACCTAAAGAGTGTACTTATTATGGTTTTATGTTCTGCACAGTAACACTGTTTCGTCTTTCCTCACCTCTTCTTTAAAAGCGACTAACAACAAAAAAAGAACACTAAGACAACAGTAATGTGGTGTTTTTGTAAAGATTCTTGAAGCCCAGAGCCGTCCTGCTTTTTGTAACGTTGCATAGCTGTAGCCATACAATAGTGACTGAGCACTGGCTGGATTAAAAGACTGGGTATGGCTAAGACTCTGGTTTCTAAGACTCTGTTTTTTTTAGGTGAAGGTGGAAACTTTCAGTATGTAGCCTGTAAACTCCACTCCAGATTCAGCCGTCAGTCGGTCCAATAGAGACTGAAGCATACCTGGACTTCCACAATCGACCGTTGATGCTACAAACACATGAAGGCTTCCTTGTAAAAAAATAACCTGTGATATTTGGTTGTTTCTGACCTGATTTAACTGTATTAAACCTGATTGTTAATTGAATGAGGCTCTGGGTGCAAAGAGGAACGTGGTTTGGGGCAAAAATAATCAGGATGACTCAAAATGAGACAACCCGGGAGCTCCCCGTCAAGCTGTGACCCCCTTCAAGACGTCAAAGGATCCGCTTTATTTGTGCCCTCAAATCTATAACATTCATGCAAGACATTCACAAGCACTATCCGTGAAAACGAACCAGGAAGTGGCTAATCGTGTTCTCTAAGTGGCACATAATCGGTTCTTCGTGCGGACACAGTGTGCTGTTTTTTGTCGTCTTCGATTTCCGACACGTGTACAGTGCACGTCCAGATCAGATCATCAAACGAGCGGATAAGGCGCTGTA